TCAGTTGCTCAGGCGTCGGCACAGTCGTTTCCTGCTCGCTCGCGCCTGCGTTTGGCTTCTAATCATATCAACGCCAGCATCGGCACTAACTACCACAATTGGACACCGGCAACTTTTGGTCAGGCAACCCCGTGGAGAACAACTCCTCCACGTGCCACAACAAGATCAAGTTTCCACGCTTGGGGTACCACAACGTGTGCGCCAGGCAGTGACAAGGATACCCCTCATGGGTTATCAAAATGTTCCTCCGTGTCCGGTACCCTGAAGCTCGTAGCAACGGTTCCACTTCTGTCATATATCGATGCACATTGTCCTTCTCATCCATGGTGGGAAATTCAGTAGGTAATGCTCCGCTCGCCTTCTTCTTCAGGAACTCAATGACATTACCTTCACTCAACCTCATGAATTTTTCACCAACTACGTCCTGCAATTCGCCTTCAGATCTCTTCGGGACAGGCCGAATGATCTTCGACAGTAAGTCATACGACCTCTCCGACATTCTGGTCAACCTCACGCATTTTTATACGGAGAAGAGTTGGTCGACCAACACCTGCTACGTCCTCGCATCCATCACCACCATGTGCGTAGGGTATTTACTATAAAATATGGTGCGGAGCTCAAAACCACCAGATACTTCGAGCCCGTAGGTCTATGATAAGCCTCACTGTCCTTCAGATTCAGCTCGTTTTCCAGAGCTTCTCGCCAACCTCCAATTTTTTGCTCCATCTGCAACGCTCCAGGGAACACTTCCACACTCAAGGACGTAAACAGGGCTGCTCCAGGCGTTCCAACGACTCGATCGAGCTGGTCATGCTGGGAAATCCCAAAGCAGTAATCAAGTTTTCTTCCGTTACTTCATGACAGTCCGCAATTAATTCCATTTCTTTTTTATCCGACATGCCTAATCTCCCATACAATTAAGCTAGTTGGCGATGTTGCTCACTCAGCGTATTTAGACAAGGGCCCGTGTCCTTCCATTCCACAGCTGGAAGCTACACAAGCGCCCTGTTTCAACCAATTACCTGAAGAGCTTCCCTCGGACAAATTCGTGGCTGGTCTGCCGTTCTTCTTTGCTACTTTCAGGGCCAACAGGTGGTGTATCACGGCCAAATCATGCAGACTCGCGTCATCGCCAAAATCCAATGCGACATCTGCCATCATATCCCAAATCAAACCGGCATTCGGGTGTGGGCACCATGAAGCTTCATGAGCTCCGACATGGTTACTAAGCTGGTTTTCAAGGGACTTCCCCATGAACCACATCCAAAGCTCACTTGCCCCTTCAGCTCGGGAACCGAGGGTTAAACCACTCGTTCCTCCAAAATGATTCCCAGTTTGGGTTGTTCCACCATTACCACGCCGATTTCCTTGACTCTCTCAACCCAGAAATCAAGGACTATGACCTGTTCATAGTCAAAAAATTTCTCCCTGGCTTCCTAGTCCACAAAGGGGTTGTACGCTATTCCTGGTATGCCTGATACGTATTGCAACCCAAAGTTGCATAATCCTTTGGATCTCTAACTGTTTCAATGGATTCACGACTCGCTTTCAGCTCCTTATTGGAGTATCTCCTCACCTCCTCTAGTCTGCGGTGTGTGTGTGTGTGTG